GTCAAGCGAAGCAGCTTGCATCTGCGAATGAAGAGAATTGTTAAGGCAAACTAAGATTTAACAAAAAGAAAGAAAGGAACGAAGGAAGGAAAGGGGAAGGAATCATCTCAACAGGACAGGCAATTAAATGAGTTTTGTGATAAGGACGTTGTAACATGGAGGGGAAGGACAAATAATAAGGAAGAAACGCGGTATACGCAGCCAAGTATACACACCTGCCACAAAAAAAAAGGAGAAAAAAGAGACCAAGAGGACGAAACTGAAGTACCTGACTCATGGAGACATATACGCGTCGAAAAACTGTTTTTCCCTAGTTGTGGGGTTCTTTGCGTATTCAGCGTCGAGGCTACTGCGTGGTGTGTGTGGGTGTGGTGAGTTGAGCTGATATTTTCTTCTAATCCCTCCCCCACTGTCTTTGGGACTGTAGCAGCTGCCGCCGGTGCCTGTTGTGTTGCGCGTTAATTTATTATTATTATTGGGCTTCATTTATGTATTGTATTTAATTTTATTTCTGCTTTACACAGTTTGTGCTCACTCGAAGTTACTCAAGATGGTCAACTTTACCGTTGATGAGGTCCGTGCCCTCATGGACTACCCCGAACAGATCCGCAACATGTCTGTGATTGCGCACGTGGACCACGGTAAGTCGACGCTTTCTGACTCTCTTGTTGGGGCCGCCGGTATTATCAAGATGGAGGACGCTGGCGACAAGCGCATCATGGACACCCGTGCCGACGAGATTGCGCGTGGTATCACGATCAAGTCAACCGCCATTTCTATGCACTACCACGTGCCGCCGGAGATGATCAGCGATCTCGCCGACGACAAGCGTGACTTTTTGATCAACCTGATCGACTCTCCCGGACACGTGGACTTCAGCTCCGAGGTGACGGCCGCGCTTCGCGTGACCGACGGTGCCCTCGTTGTTGTTGACTGCGTGGAAGGTGTATGTGTGCAGACCGAGACAGTGCTGCGGCAGGCATTGACGGAACGTATTCGCCCTGTTGTGTTCATCAATAAGGTGGACCGCGCCATCCTTGAGCTGCAGCTCGACCCGGAGGAGGCGTACCAGGGCTTCGTAAAGACGCTTCAGAACGTGAATGTTGTGATTTCTACCTACAACGACCCTGTGATGGGCGACGTGCAGGTGTACCCCGAGAAGGGCACTGTCGCGATCGGCTCTGGCCTGCAGGCGTGGGCCTTCTCTGTCACGCGCTTCGCCAGAATGTATGCAGCGAAGTTTGGTGTCGACGAGGCGAAGATGTGCGAGCGTCTGTGGGGCGACAACTTCTTTGACGCGAAGAACAAGAAGTGGATCAAGAGTGAGACAAACGCCGCTGGGGAGCGCGTGCGCCGCGCCTTCTGCCAGTTTTGCCTTGACCCCATCTACCAGATCTTTGACGCCGTGATGACGGAGAAGCAGGAGAAGGTGGAAAAGATGCTGAAGTCGCTGAACATCAACCTGACGGTGGATGAGCGCGAGCAGGTGCCTAAGAAACTTCTGAAGTCGATCATGATGAAGTTCCTGCCCGCTGCGGAGACGCTGCTGCAGATGATTGTTGCCCACCTGCCCTCGCCCAAGAAGGCGCAGCAATATCGCGCGGAGATGCTGTACTCTGGGGAAGCTAGCGCGGACGACAAGTACTACGTTGGCATCAGGAACTGTGACCCTGCGGCGCCGCTGATGCTGTATATCAGCAAGATGGTGCCGACGGCGGATCGCGGCCGCTTCTTTGCGTTCGGTCGCATCTTTGCTGGTAAGGTGCGCAGTGGGCAGAAGGTACGTATCATGGGCAACAACTACATCTTTGGCAAGAAGCAAGACTTGTACGAGGACAAGCCGGTGCAGCGCACGGTACTGATGATGGGCCGCTACCAGGAGGCAGTGGAGGACATGCCGTGTGGCAACGTTGTTGGCCTGGTGGGCGTTGATAAGTACATTGTGAAGTCCGCCACCATCACGGACGACGGTGAGAGCCCTCACCCGCTGCGTGACATGAAGTACTCCGTGTCGCCCGTTGTGCGCGTTGCGGTGGAGGCGAAGAACCCATCCGATCTGCCGAAGCTTGTGGAGGGTCTTAAGCGTCTTGCGAAGTCGGACCCTCTCGTCGTGTGTACAATTGAGGAGAGTGGTGAGCACATCGTCGCTGGTGCCGGCGAGCTGCACCTGGAGATCTGCCTCAAGGATCTGCAGGAGGACTTCATGAACGGCGCCCCGCTGAAGGTGTCGGAGCCTGTTGTGTCCTTCCGTGAAACAGTGACGGACGTGTCGTCGATCCAGTGTCTTTCCAAGTCCGCGAACAAGCACAACCGTTTGTTCTGCCGCGGTGCCCCACTGACGGAGGAGCTGTGCGTTGAGATGCAGGATGGTTTGAACGCAGGCTCGGAGGCGGACCCAAAGACGCGTGCCCGCTTTCTTGCAGACAAGTTTGGCTGGGACGTGGCGGAGGCACGCAAGATCTGGTGCTATGGCCCTGATAACCGCGGCCCCAACGTTGTTGTGGACGTGACGAAGGGTGTACAGAACATGTCGGAGATGAAGGACTCGTTTGTTGCGGCGTGGCAGTGGGCGACACGCGAGGGCGTGTTGTGCGACGAGAACATGCGTGGTGTGCGCATCAACGTGGAGGACGTGACGATGCACGCAGACGCCATCCATCGTGGTGGTGGCCAAATCATCCCTACTGCCCGCCGCGTGTTCTATGCGTGCTGCCTGACTGCCTCACCCCGCCTAATGGAACCGATGTTTCAGGTCGATATCCAGACGGTGGAGCACGCGATGGGCGGCATCTACGGTGTGCTGACGCGCCGCCGCGGTGTCATCATTGGCGAGGAAAACCGCCCCGGCACACCTATTTACAACGTCAGGGCGTACCTCCCTGTTGCGGAGTCGTTCGGCTTTACCGCTGACCTCCGTGCCGGGACGGGCGGCCAAGCGTTCCCGCAGTGTGTGTTCGACCACTGGCAGCAGTACCCGGGCGACCCGCTGGAGCCGAAGTCGCAGGCCAACACCCTGACGCTCAACGTGCGCCAGCGCAAGGGTCTGAAGCCGGATATTCCGCCGCTGGACACCTTCCTCGACAAGCTATAGGGTGGCGGCAGAATTGAGGTTAATTCGAGGCCAATGAACAGTCAGGCAGGACTGTAGTAGCAGCACAGTAGGATAGGCATGAGGTCAAGCGAAGCAGCTTGCATCTGCGAATGAAGAGAATTGTTAAGGCAAACTAAGATTTAACAAAAAGAAAGAAAGGAACGAAGGAAGGAAAGGGGAAGGAATCATCTCAACAGGACAGGCAATTAAATGAGTTTTGTGATAAGGACGTTGTAACATGGAGGGGAAGGACAAATAATAAGGAAGAAACGCGGTATACGCAGCCAAGTATACACACCTGCCACAAAAAAAAAGGAGAAAAAAGAGACCAAGAGGACGAAACTGAAGTACCTGACTCATGGAGACATATACGCGTCGAAAAAACTGTTTTTCCCTAGTTGTGGGGTTCTTTGCGTATTCAGCGTCGAGGCTACTGCGTGGTGTGTGTGGGTGTGGTGAGTTGAGCTGATA